CCTATCTAGGACATTCATATAAATGGAATCAGACAGGATGTGGTCTTTCGTGTCTGGCTTCTCTCACTTAGCCTAATGTCTTTAAGGTTCTTCCATTTTGTAGCATGCATCAGTACTTTGTTCCTTTTTATGGCTGAATTATAAACTTACTCCTCACTTATTGACTATCTCATTTCCAACAGTTCGCATTTATGACAATAATGAGAAAGCTACTCTTTTGTGCATTAATGACGTATGTCTGACAGTAATGAATGCCAAAGAGTGAGGCAAGAACAAGATTGGCTGTGATGGTTATGTGTCAATTTGGCTGGGCCGTGATTTTCAGTGGTTTGGCAGTTATATAATGATGTAAGTTGGCAGTTATGAATGATTTTTTTCATCCTCCGTTTTTGCATAACACCAATTTTTGCATAATGTCTTGGTCTTTAGAATCTAACCACATTGGTAAGTGAGGACTGGGTGTATTTCATTGTACATATATACCACATTTTGTTTATCCATTCACCAGATGATGGACATCGGGTTGTTTCCACTGTTTGGCTATTATGAATAACACTACTTTGAACACTGATGTACAAGTTTTTGTGTGGACATATGTTTTCATTTCTCTTGGGTATATCTAGAAGCCAAGTTACTGGATCATATGGTAACTCTACATTTAACGCTTTGAGGAACTTCTACACTGTTTTCCACAGTGGCTGTACTATTTCACATTCCTACCAGCAGTATATGAGCGTTCTAATTTTCCACATCTACACCAACACTTGATGAGTCCTTTTGATTATGGTCATCCTAATGGGTGTGACATGGTAATGTGGTTTTGATTTGCATTTCCCTAATGACAAAAGATGTTGAGGATATTTTTATGTGTTTATTGGCTATTTGTATATTTTCCTTGGAGAAATGTCTATTCAAATCCTTTGCCCATTTTTTGGTTGAGTCATTTGTCTTTTTATTGTTGGATTTTAAGAGTTCTTTATATATCCTGGATATAAGTCCCTTATCAGATACTTATTTTGCAATTATTTTCTCCCATTCTGTCAGTTGTCCTTTTATTTTCTTGGAATCCTTTGATGCACAAAAGTGTTTAATTTTGATGAGGTCCAATGTATCCTTTTTCTTTGGTTACTTGTGCTTTTAGTGCCACGTCTGAGAAACCTCTGCCTAAACCAATGTCATGAAGATTTAGCTCTATGTTTTCTTCTAAGAGCTTTATAGTTTTAGCACTTACATTTAGATCTTTCATCCATTTTCTTTTTGAATATGGCATGAGGTATGGGTCCAACATTATTCTTTTGCATGTGGATTTCCAGTTGTCCCAGTACCATTTGTGAAAAGAGTATTCTTTCCCCATTGAATGGTCTTTGCTCTCATCAAAAGTCAACTGACTATAAACGTGAATGCATATTTCTGGACTCTCAATTCTATTCCACGTCTGTCCTTACGCCAGTACAGTCAACACTCTCTTGATTACTGCACCTTTGTGGTAAGTTTTGAAATTGTGAAGTGTGACCCCTCCAACTTTGTTCTTCTTTTCCAAGACTGTTTTGACTGTTCTGGGTCCTTTGAATTTCCATATGAATTTTAGGATCAATGTCAATTTCTGCAAAGAAGTCAGCTGCGATTTCACATTGGAAATTGCTCAATATTTCAGAATATAATAAACAATGATACTGAAATACTATAAAATATTTTCTGTGGGTAATTTGCTTATGATAGCAGGTGAATTATTTACTTCATTCAATTC